TACCCGGCGTTCCCGACCCACAGGGAGGCCGGGTGCCTCGCGAAGGCGGCCAGGCACGAAGAGGAGACGGCAGAGCCGACGATACTCAGCAGGATCATGGTGCCAGGGTACAGGCAGGTGGCACAGAATATTGCCACTCCTCTGCAGGCGGCGAACGCGCCCCAGAAGACGGAGTTCAAAGCGGCTGCTTCGTTTTCTTTCATCTCGGCAAAGACCTTTGCGTAAGTAAATATGTAAGAGCCGTATGTGACCTCCGCTCCCACGTAGCAGAAGAAGAATATGAAGAGGAGACCAAGAAGGGTGTAGTGGTATTTGGCAAACACGCTTTTCTCTGGAGAGGCCTTTGATTTGTCTCGAGCTGAGCTGCCCTTTGAATACAAAATAAAAAAGAAGAAAGAAACAACCAGCAGATAGGTCCCTATGACAACGTAGGACCACAAAAAATCGGCACCAAGGCGGTGTTTCAGTGCTGACGCAGCTGCTGCTGTTGGCACAGACCTTGGCACAGACTGGTTTGTCTTCTCAGCCACTGGAAGGGCTTTCGATTCGGAGCCGCCCAAGGCCATCGTGGCCAGGATCGGAGCCACAAACGCACCGACAGCAAAACTGAAGTGTAAGGCCTGCATGTGTGGCCCAGCCTCTGCTCCCCAGGTATTCAGTGCCAGAATATTGCCACCTGCGAATCGGAGAGAGGACGAGTCAGTCATCTGAGTCTGAAACCAGACATGGGGTAAAAACAACAAACCAAAACAACAACAACAAACCCCATAACCAACCTCTGTTACCAATTCAATCTGCAGTAATACCAGGTTTAGCAAACACAATGTGCAGGCTTGCAGTTAAGTGGAATTCTGCCTGTAAGCACCTTGAGCCCCCGCGACTGCCTGAGCGCTGGGAGGGCAGGCGCAGCCGTCAAAATGAAGAGCGACGCAGCGGCTGAATCCAGCACCATAATTCATTACCCCACCTGGGAGCATTTTTCAGCCTTTTTTGAAAAGGGCAAATGTAACTGCTTCTCATTTCTGTAAGTACTAAAAGCAACACAGCACACCGCTAACAGTCAGAGGCGTCGTTAAACAGCATCCCAGGAAACACCAAGAATCGCTGCCTTCTGATGGGCTGGGACGACCCCGACGGCGTTCAGACGCCCTTCCAGAAGCGGAAACGTTTACGGCGTCACTGCTGCAGAGACCAAGCTGCAGCACCCTCAGCTCAGCAGTAATGCTAGAAAATCAGATCCCAGAGAGCCATTTTTAAGCAGTCCCTGAGGAGAATACAGGAAAGTAAGAACTAAATTCCTGTGCTACAGTGCAGCAACCCTTGTCACGCAGCACTAACACTCTTCCAAATTAATTCAGTCACACTCTGCTGCCTCGCTCTTAGCTTCCCCTCCTGGGAAGTCTCCCTGCCTCAGAAGTCGGGCTTCCACCCTCCAAAGACATATTTACAATAAGCCAATCAGCTTTTCCTGTATGAAGAATTTTTAAACTAAGTGCCACGTGTAACAATCCTAACGGAGGCAACAAATACACCTCTGCACTCGCGTTGTTTGGCATAACCTGTGCCACGCAGACCCAGCTTTTTTCACTCCTGGATCCCGCTCTCTTCAGCTCCCAGAACGACGGCGGCTGGTTCACATGCGCAGCCATGGCTGCTCCGTGCTGCCTACCAGCCAGGCCCTGGCCGGGACGCTTCCAGAGCTGTCTGGCTAGCCAGGCTCGTTCACTAGCCAGCTGATCCGCAGAAATCAGCCCGCCCTGAAGCTGGTCAGCTGGATCCAGTACGACCCTGATGGCTACTGAGTACCGCAGGCTCCCCCTGTAAGCCAGGGAAGTCCGCGCCCTGCGGGGACGTCACCGGCGAGGTGCCAGGTGAGCGGCCGCCTGTTGCAGCTTCACCACCACCTTCCACAGCAAGTCCAAAGCACTCCGCCGCTGACAGATTTTCAGTTGTTTCCTGATCCCCATCTGCCCTACGCCAGCGTGACCTGCTCGTCCCCCAGTGCGCTTCAGTCTCTCGCCGCGGCCTCGCCTCCTGATCCAAGCTGCCAGCTACAGCCGGCTGTCTCTAACTCACCCTTTCTAGGCCACGTCCGTGAACTCGTTTCTGTGGGAGGGTTTTCTTCACACCTCTGGTGTACCTGACCTGCCGACCGCACCTGCAGACCTGCTCTCCAACTTCACCAGTACGTCTTCCTCCAGTAAGCAGCCTCTAACAAGAAACTGGTTTTGAACAGGTTTCCAGCAAAAGTGGGGGTTTCTCCCAGGCCGTCTGCAGTCTGCACGTGCCACAGACTGACAGTTTGGTGCACAGGATACAGCTGTATTCCCAGACACCTAGGCGAGGCTGCCCGAGGGCACCAAATATCCCCCGGCTCGGGCAGACGGACGCCGCGGTGCTGTCAGCGATGAGCTACGGCAGTAACCGCCTGCCGTGAGCCCCTGAACGCCACCGGCCAGCTCTGGGCACGCAGCTCTCCAACACGGTGACCGCGAGAATCTCCCTCTCAAACACCGGGGCTGCTCAGGACTGACCTAGCTCCAGCTGACGCCACGGAACCGTCACCCGACAGCTTCCTGCAGACGAGTCATGTAAAGAAAACGCTGTTTAAAGACCACGTGGCACTTTCCTTACACCTGTAATTGCTCACTGAAACGCACACTGGTTTCCTCCAGGAAGCACGAGACGCGCGGCCTCCCCAGGCCCCTTCAGGAAGGCCTCCTCCAGGGACACCAACACTGCAAGTCTCAGGACCAGACCGACCCAAGAATCCCAGCCAGGTAGAACAGCTCCCCTCCCTGAATTCAAGATGTGTCAAAGGAAATCCCAGCAACTGAGCCTGAAGCTTCCAGTGAGTTTGGTGATGGAACTGTCGGACCAGGTGGCCCCTTACCTGTGTCTAGAATTCCCATGGAAGCTCCAATAACTGACATCAAGGCAGTTAACAGCAGGGATTTCTTACACCAGGGTATCCCGTAAAGACCAACCGTTGTTCCAAACATGGATAGTGCTGGGAAGGTTAAAAAACAAAACAAAATCCCAGATATTACGGTTTCCATTTAAACTGCGAAACACGCAGAAGACCAAGAAATACAAGTACATTCATAATTAGTAAAGTTACAGATAACCCAAACAGGTGATGTAACCTAACTACCTCAATTCCTGATCAGCAGAAGCAGCCAGACAGTCCAACAGAACCATTTTTCACTTGTAAAAAAGGAATTTCTTCAGAATACAAACACTACGTGAAAAACCTGCTTTGCTAAAGCTTTATTTGCAAAGGGAGCAGCATCTGCTGCTAGAACACTAAGAAGTCTGCCACAAATTTCTGACTTAGAAGTGCTATTTCAGCATCTTCTGCAAACTTCTGATGTGGAAACACATTACCACAAAAGAAGTAAAGCGGGGGTTTTGAACAGCATCAAGTTCTTCCCCTGAGAACTACATGGCATTAAATCTGGCTCCATTTGAAACGAACCCAAAGCACTAAACTCTTAAAATCCTATAAAGTGATTGCACCTCGGCCAACAAGGGACCTCCGTATAAACATGCTGACTTTCATTTATGCTCTGTTCTTACAAGAGGGATGCATTCCAAGGGATTTCTGGAGTTTCAAGGGAGAGAACTATAAAATTTCTCATCATAATTTAGCAGCAGTTCATTAACTGTATTCATCTTGCTGCTATTGACTACACTTCCAACATGCCATTTCAAAAAATATTTTTTAGCAGATGGAAATTATTTTTAGTACAATTTGGGAGGAAGTTCAGCAGTTAAATTCTATGCTTATGATCACCTTCATAATAAAATAATCTGCAATTAATATCTTGAATATACAGTATTAGCTTTTTTAGAAAGCTTGTGCCAGTTCAGACGTCTCTCATTTTTCAAATCAATACTTGATCATAGGTGGGGAAGATGCTTAAAGATTAATGGGGACTGATGCAATTAAGAACTTAGGTTAATTCCAAAGAAAAACAAAAAAAAGGAAAAAATAAATACCCAGAACCCTGGAGACCTAGTGAGGTGCTTGGAATACACGCCCCAAAATATTTTTGAAGGCCGGCACACTGAGCTGCACAGAGGAAAAGCTGAAGCCAGGGTGTGTTAAGCACAGCTTCTCAGATGCCCCCTCTGAGCGGAAAAGCACCTTCTCAGTGAGTTCTCAGCTGTGCACTTCAGCTCTTCACCTGAAGAGTGCTACTTCAAGGCTTCCTTGACAAAGACAGGTTAAATCTTCAGTTTTTCCTCTGTACAGTAGCAGAGTTTCAGCAGTTGAGAGATGGGAGGTAAAACTGCACGAGCCAAAATCTCTTACAGGCAGCCCTCAGATGACAGAAAGAAGATTCAGAGGTTCAAACTGTGGTTTTGTCATAAGCACGACCAATTGGGAAAGGATTAGGAGATGAATCATTCTCCGAGCATCGCTGACAGACAGCTATCCTGTGTGACACATCAGGAGAACAAGGAAATACTGAACTATTTCCAGTTAATACTTCCACAGGTGTATTGATTCCATTACGGAAGGTAAAGTCTCAAATGTCAGACAGGGACAACTCTGACCTTGTCAGATGTACAAGGAGGCTAAAGGAAACCCGCTTTACCGGTGTTCTGGAGGAGAGGAATAAAAGAACAGGGAGGAGAGCAAATAAAGACATCTTAGAACAAGAGCAAATAAGAGGAACCGGTCCAGGGAGCTGAAGATAAGGGAAGAAAAAAAGAGAGAAGACAGATGTGATATGACATGACTGCTCCCGACGGCAGGAGATGGGCGCACAGGGACGAGAGAAGACTTAGCTCAGATGCTACCAGTGGAAAACGGAGGTTCTCACGTTCTCAGAACCCACCCCGTGATTAGACAGGGCCCTCAGGGGAGGCACAGTTCTGTCTGAACCTCCCCAGGTACGGGAAGGAGAAGGAGAAGAGTGAGCCCCGGTGTCTGGTTTAGTCCCTCCCTCACAGCACGAAGGGACATGCTGCTATTGCTGCACTCCACAGAGAAAAAAGATGGGGCTTTCCCTGTCTCGGGTGCGCCAGAAGAGTCTCTGCCGGAGCCAGACACCGGCAC